CATGGAAAAGGCGGAGTATTAAAAAACTACTTAAAAAGACACTTTACGAGGGTTAGTGATAAAAGATGCTCTTAAGTAAGTTTTGAATTTCCATTAAAGCCTAATCGAAGAATTAGTGCATAACAATTATTCTCCTTCTTGTCAACTATTTGTCCAATAATGTCACATACTAGTATATATATTATTATTACGGTTAGGAAATTGGAAAACGTAAAAAAAAGAATTGAGTCAACATTCACTTTCAGTCTTTTCGTCAAGATTTCACATAATATTGCGTTACGTTCCAATCTATTAAATGATATGCATTGAAAAGTCAAAAAGTCAAATTTGTGAATTAATGATCTCATTCTTATCATATGATCGAATATGGGCTTATTTATCAGTTGATAAGAGAAAGCCCAGTAATGTATTTAAGGCCCAAAAGATATGGATCCTAGGGTTTAGTCTATTTGTTTCATTTTCACTTTCCTTTACGATAAATAAAAACCTACAGCCACTTGAAGCTGATCTCTCTAGGGTTTCTCTTTCGCCGCTCAGGTTCGTTCCTCTCTCGATCACCCTTTTGTTTTCTTCTCATCTTCAATTGCTTTCTTCGTTTTCTGCGTATTTGATTATGTTCGTTAACTGTTTCTGTAAACGATTGATTCTCTCTCATTTTCCCGGGACAATATCATTATTTGAATCGATGTTTCTGAGCTAGACTCATTGCGGTTGAACTGATTTGCTTTTCTGGGTTTATCAGGTTTCGAGGAAAGGATCTGTCTTTGAGTAATGGCTCCAGCTAAAGGTACGAACTTTCCAATTGATAATATAGGATCTGCTTTTCTTTTGGGTTCCATTTCGTGCTTTAGTATTCTATTCATTCATCGATAACATTACTCATGAACATCTATCTCAAGTGTGTAGTACGGTTAGATTCTTACCTGACTCTGTTCATGTCGTTTGATTCTCCCATATTTTCTTGTGTCATGAACTGGTTTTGCCTTGCTTTGCTTTTGCCAAGTACAAAGTTTTCTGACTGAGATGAATCATTTGGTTGTTTTGGAGCCTATTGTTATGATATCTGAGTGTCGAAATTGGGGATGGTGAATGCTTGTTACAGTATGCACTCTTGAAAATGTTGCGTATCTAGCATGCCGTGTTCTTGTAAATCATGTCAATGATCTAATGTGAAATTCATTTTTCAAAGCTCTCTGAATTGATTCTGACTCTTCATTTTTCTTATAGTTGATGTCACCAAGAAAGCTGACCCAAAGGCCAAGGCCTTGAAAGCTGCGAAGTTAGTGAAATCAGGCCAAGGCTTTAAGAAGAAGGCTAAGAAGATCAGGACTAAGGTGACATTCCACAGGCCAAAGACATTGACTAAGGCTAGGGATCCAAAGTACCCACGTATCAGTGCACCTCCGAGGAACAAGTTGGATCACTACCAAATCCTCAAGTATCCTCTCACCACTGAATCTGCCATGAAGAAGATCGAAGACAACAACACCTTGGTCTTCATTGTCGACATTCGTGCTGACAAGAAGAAGATCAAAGATGCAGTGAAGAAAATGTACGACATTCAGACCAAGAAGGTCAACACACTCATAAGGTACACACTTTGGAAACAAATCTTCTCTTGAGTTTTCTTTTCTAATTGAAAAATAGATTGGTCAGTTGGTTTATAATCTAAAGCATGAATGTTTTATGTTGCAGGCCCGATGGAACGAAGAAGGCGTACGTGAGGTTGACTCCTGATTACGACGCTTTGGATGTCGCTAACAAGATCGGGATCATATGATTGATCGTCCTTGCTCTGCTGTGTTACTTTTTGTTAAAACAGATTCCGGTTCTTTGCTTTTCATAGTCGCAGTTTTGCTTAGAGAAATTAAGATATTATCATCTCGTTATTGTGCTTTATCTTTGGATCTTTGGTATTTCTGGATGAGTTATAATTTTCATTTTAGACCTTTGAGAGATCTTGTTCAAAACTCTTGTTGTGGTCTCTCTGTTCCAGGTTTAGTCCGGTTATTACTTAAAATCAATCATTACATTGGAATATTGGACCGTACCTGTTACATGATAAATCCTTATTTTGTATTGGAAACAGTGACGCCTTAGAACTCTAGATTCAGCTATCGATATTATTCAATCGACGGTTCCAATTATAGCAAAATTACGTAGTGGAGTACTGGAGCCCAATCCAATTAATCAGATCAAATCATTTTCTAACATGTTTCTTCTCCATTATGTAAACCGTCCATGAGAAACTCGTGGTCTATAATGAACGAATTATTTTCGCTTGTTGCCAAAAAAATAAAGGTCTTTTCGATTCGAGAACATAAAATATCTAGATCTATACAATGGATAAATTTTACATTACAAATTTAAATCGTGATTTTTGGACGAATATGCAAACAAAAGTATATAGGTAAAAACTGTGATAACGTATAAAAGTAAAACTAAAAAATTATTCCATTTTTTTGAAGTGTAATTATTGGATATTTCATAAATGATTCTGTAAATAAAAATGTAATAATATATAGTATGTTGTTACTTATTTTGTTAAGTTAAATATTCTAATTCATCGGCTTTTAGCAAAAAAAATTAATATTCTAATTCATTGTATACATGTTTCTGAAAATGTGTGCGAGTTTGTTTTATGATAAGTAATTCTTCAAAATATATAAAATTTGTAGACACAGATAATAGGCAAATATAAATCAAAACCTAATTAGGTTACACGAATCGGTTACAGATTTAGACTGGCACGTTAAATTGTCGTTTTGGTTTAGAGAGAATGCTTTATATCAAAAACTACGTTAGTGGACTTCTCCTTCTCCACACAAGACATTATGAGCAATCATCAAACTGTAAGTTATCTCTTCTCTCATTTCCCATTATGCCCCTTCACTTGCTTACTTTTTTTTTTTTACGCAAATTTTATCAGAAAGCTTTTGAAAACGTCCCTACGATAATGAGATCTCTTGTCTTTAATCTTATTTTGTGTTATATTTTCTCATCATTTGATTCCATGGAATTTGGAGAGAAGCAGGTGACGTTGAAGCCATTTGAGCCATGGTGTGAGGTTAAAGACAAGGTGGTTCTTGTGACAGGAGCTTCCTCTGGTATAGGAAGAGAGATCTGTCTTGATTTAGGCAAAGCTGGTTGTAAGATTATTGCAGCAGCTCGTCGTGTTGATCGTCTCAAATCTCTCTGTTCTGAAATCAACAGTTTCGGTTCGACCGGTATCCAATTAGCCTCAGCTCTTGAGCTAGACGTTTCATCAGACGCAGCCACCATTCGAAAAGCGGTTAAGGAAGCTTGGGATGTCTTTGGAAAGATAGATGTGTTGATCAACAATGCCGGGATTAGAGGCAATGTCAAGTCGAGTTTGGATTTGTCCGAAGACGAGTGGGACAATGTTTTCAGGACCAACTTAACCGGACCTTGGTTGGTATCGAAATACGTATGCATTTTGATGCGTGACGCTAAACGTGGTGGCTCGGTGATCAACGTCTCATCGATCGCGGGGCTTCACCGAGGTATGCTGCCTGGTGGACTCGCGTACGCTACTTCGAAAGGCGGTGTTGACACCATGACAAGGATGATGGCTATGGAGTTAGGTGCTTACAACATCAGAGTGAACTCAATCGCACCGGGGCTTTTCAAGTCAGAGATTACACAAGGTCTTATGCAGAAAGAGTGGCTGAAGAACGTGAACGAGCGGACTGTCCCGTTAAAGGGGCAACAGACCGTGGATCCGGGGATTACATCGCTCGTTCGCTATCTCATTCACGACTCTTCTCGATATGTATCTGGGAATACATACATTGTTGATTCCGGAACTACATTGCCCGGTCTGCCCATTTTCTCTTCTCTTTGAACCCCAAATCTTGTGTTTGTTCAACAATAATCGAATACATTTACACATTCTCATCTTACTGTAAAAGCTTTACATACATCAAACATGTTTTTGCTAAAAACAAACCGGGGTACACAAATACAAGGATAGACAAAATTTACCTCGCTCCTAAAATATTTGGATTATACGAACAAAATCGATATACCTTGGAGAACTAAGCATTGACCATAACCTACCTCGTCTTCAAAAAAAAAAGAATACACAGCTTCAACACCGTGGATATCTACATCTACAAGCCCTATCTGTTACAGAACTAACCGTGGTTGTATAGTTTGTTTTGAGCATTTTATGTCCCTCCAGAGAATCATCGATCATTGGTGGAGTTCCAGACTCTATATCAGTCGATTTTGGCGTAGACCTTTACCGAAATGTGGTTGCATCAAACGGACATACAATCCATTCTTTGCTGCTAAACAATCATGTGTACCTTCCTCTACTATTCTCCCTCCATTGAGAACCACAATGTTATCCACATGTCTCATCATAGCGGCTCTATGTGCTATCAGAATCGTTGTTTTGTTCCCCATTATCAATGTGTCGAGAGCCTCCTGGACAACCCGGCTTGATTCAGATTCGATAGACGAGCTTGCTTCATCTATTAAGATGATGGGAGCATTCTTGAGCACTACACGTGCAATCGCTATTCTCTGTTTCTGTCCCGGGGTAAGTTCAACGCCTCTCATTCCGATATGTGTGTCGTAACCGTGTGGTAAGCTGCTGATGAAATGGTGAGCATTTGCAATTCTTGCTGCTTCTTTCATCTCAGCTTCACTCGCATTATGCCTTGCATATATGATATTCTCTCTGATCGTCGTGGAAAAGATTATGGGTTCTTGCTGAACCAGACCCATGTGGCTTCTCAACCATCTCAGATTATATAACTTTAAGTCTCGCCCATCTAGTAGGACTTGACCAGCAACTGGGTCGTAGTATCTCTCTACCAGTGAGATTATTGTGCTTTTTCCAGAACCTGAAACGCCAACCACAGCTACGGTCTGTCCCCCACTGACTTTGAGGCTGAAGTTGCTCAGAACTAACACCTCGGGTCGAGTTGGGTAGCAAAAGTCGATGTTTTTCAATTCAATGCTTCCGTAGACATTAGGCGGTTTGAGAGCAGAGTTATCATCTGGTTCAATCGTAGGGACTCGATCGATGATTTCAAATACTGATATGAGAGACTTACGGCGCTTGAGAATATACGGTGCTAATCCAAATGGCTCAACAAGGGCAAATGTAGCAAAAGAAAAAACCATGTACTCCGTTATAGCTGTGGATAACTTCATATACCCGCGGTTAACAGATAATGCAGTGCACCATAGAAGGAGCGCATTGCAGGCGAAAAGAAGAAACTGAGAGAAGCCAAACGCAAAACCAATAGCCATCCCATGGAAAAAGCTCTGTCTAAGTATCCGCTGGAGTTGCATCCTGTAGAGTTCCATAACTTTGTTACCAGCACAGAAAGCAACAACAGTGTAGATGTTTCTAACAGCATCCTCGAGGACTAAAGATGCCTTTCTATGCATCTCCTGTATGCCTTTAGAGAATCCAGCAAGCCACAATTTCTGCACATTCGTTTCAACAGAGATCAGAATATAATATCGGCTGAATAAACAAACATTTTTTAGCAACGTTGCATTAGAATCAGATGGCAAATATTACAGAGAATAACAAACATGCTAAATCGCTACTTGAACTGTAAAAGTATTGCAAACTCAGAAACACATGTGAAGAGGGGATAACAAAGGCAGTTGATTTAAAATAGATATAAGAAAATATATTCCAAGCAATCTTCTAGAAGAAGTGATGCAAACCTGAGCAATGGCAGAAAGAATGAGTATTGGCAGAGTTGCCAATGCAACAACGGCCAAACGCCAACCAAGCAGCAACCCAATAAGAAGAGCAACGATAACAGCAAAACTATCTTGAATGAATATCGAGAGCCTGTTACTGAAGGCAGCTCGGACAAAAGTAGCATCGTTTGCTAAACGCATGGATAACGTATCTGGACAGTTCTCTTCATCATCGAACCATCCAACTTCGTTACGCAGCATTGCTGTAACATCAAGGAAATTAATCAACTGAGGCAAGTAAAAGCAGTTATAATGTGGTGAAGTAAATTATAATGAATCAATTTTCCACTACCTGAGAACATCATCCTCCGAACTCTCTCCGTCATTTTCTCCCCCATTATACCGAAGTAGAAGTGCTGCAAGAAATTGGCAACAACTGTCACTATCCCCATGCAGGCAATTATCAAACACCATTTGTCAACCTCCTCTCGCAGGTCGCCTCTGTTGCTCTTATAATATGCCGTCACTACCAACGCAATGACATAAGCTAGAAGAGGGTTGAAAGAACCAAAGATGGCAGCGCCAACACTCCCTAATAACGCATAAAGCCACTCTGGGAAACTAAGTTGTGCCAACCTCCAAAACGAAGGTGACTCCTTGTGTTGAGCATCCTTAGCCGCCTCACCATTTGCTGTAGTGTCATCAGAAGAACTAAGAGGACGACTAAATGTCTGAGAATGGGAACGCTCGTTTTTAGGATCTGATGTCAAAAGGGGTGAAACAGGGGACTCTGGATCTGAGCCGTTTGATTTCTGTCGTGGACACTGAACGTCAATTTTCGGAAGTTCTGGTAACCTCATCTCAAAACTATCTTGCCTTTTCATAGTTGGCTCTTTATCAGCATCGTCTAGAGGCAAGCCATTTTCCCCCATTTTCTCAGATGCAGGCCTATGATCATTAGGTGATTCTTCAGTATTAAAAAACAGTTCCTGGGGACGAAACACGCCATTGCCTCTTACAAGAGATGGAGACTTTATCATTTTGGGTGATGATGGTTCTTGGACGCTACAGTCTGCTGAAGAGTCTCTCTCAACCTGAAACACCGTAGATTCCTTGTAGTTCCTAACTGGCATCCTGGATGAACATACAAGTTCCTTAATCAAGTATGATCACCAAAAAATCAACCCTCCTAGAGATCATAACAGAAAAGAAATGCCCAAACATATATTCTGCCTCATGACTTTCACTACACGACTAATTGATTATATTCTAAGCTATCATACCTTCTCGGAAGCTTTGTTGCTTCTTCACACTTCAGAAGCTCGGCATACAGCCCACCAAGAGTTATCAATTCATCGTGTGTACCCATTTCAACGAGCTGACCCTCCTCCATCACCGCAATATAGTTAGCATTTTTTATCAAACTTAGCCGTCGGGCTATAATTATGGTTGACCGTCCCAACATCAGAAGATCAAGAGCTTCTTGAACAATTCTTTCAGCTTCGAAGTCTAGTCCTCCAGTTACTTCGTCAAGCAGAAGAATTCTTGGATTCAAAAGCACAGCTCTAGCAATCGAAAGTTTTATTTTCTGCTCCTCTGTCATTACTAAACCAGCTCTCCCGACCTAGAAGCCAAACAAAGCATTTCCCACTGCAAGATTCAATAGAATTGAACAAACAGGATTTTCATAACAACTTTTATATAATGTCTACCTGAGTTTCATATCCTTTTTCAAGTGAGCTGATAAATGTGTGTGCATGGGCTATTTTGGCTGCTTCCTCTATCTGGTCAAGAGTAGCATCACGACCATATGCAATATTATCTCTTATGCTCAAGCTTAGCAGAGCAGGCTCCTGTGTAACCAGGCCTATTTGGCTTCTCAGCCACTCCAGTTTTAGATTTTTAATATTTTCTCCATCAAGAAGAACTTCCCCTGCATAAGCGAAAAGCACATATGTAGTCAGCTAACAATCGTCTCCATCAATTGGTGAGTGGCGAATAAATCCTCATAGTACCTAATGTCGGATCATAAAACCGTTCCATTAGAGGAATGATGCTGCTTTTTCCAGAACCATTCCTACCAACAAGTGCAACTGCTTTTTTAGCAGGAACCGTGAGGTAAAATCCACTCAAGATTGGAATTTCAGGTCGTGACAAATAGCTGAAATACACATTCCGGAATTCAATATTTCCTTGAACAATAGCCAGCACAGCTCCCTCTTGATTAGCCACAGAGGATGAACGAGTTATCAAATCAAAAAGTCTATACGCAGCAATCCTTCCTTGATCAAATGAATAGAAGTTTGTAGCAGCTTGATTTAACCCCCTGCCCAACAGAATATCCATTATCAAGACATATCATATATTTATAAAGAGAGAAAGAGACCAAGAAGATATAACTATGTAACAGAGACTGAGAAAATAGATAAAGACAACATTAGTACAATCTCAAGCTTACAATCCACTTAAGATAACAGCAAAAAGAGCTGCAATGATTTCTCCACCATTTGCTCTTCCACTGTTAACAAAGAATCGTCCAATCCAAAGTTGCAGCGCACAAGAGCATATAGCAAGCCCGTATGTAAATCCAAGTCCAAGGCCTTGCACAAGACTAATCAATATACCGTATCTCAGGGTTGCTTGAAGGGAGGTAGCATATGAATATTTTGCTAGAGTTTCATTTGTAAAGGCATATAAAGTCCTTATGTAAGAGATGGCCTGCACATTTAAGATAAATCCTTCGAAGAGTTAGAATATTCACACAAGACTCTAAACGAGATAGTAAACTAATTTTGGAAGGGAGCACTAGAAAATGGGATCTGTAGGGTACACATTACAAAACCACTTGTAATCATGCATAGACTATTGATGTGATTACTACGCATTCCCAGTGATGCAATATCCAATTCGTACACTTACAGAATTAAACTGTCATCTAGCATAACAAAAAGAAGGCTATTCCAAGGTCTATATTTCGAAATGAAACTCGCAGAGATTTAATTGATTCTTGATTGCCGTAAACCTCATTGAATCTAGTGAAGTATCCTCGTGCCTAAGTGCAAGAAGATTGAATAAATAAGAGCACAAACCAAGAAAATATGTCGAACTTTGTAATCATAACTCTACGTTAAAGTTCCACGCCAACAAGTCACAGATGTCTCTAAGAATTGATCCAATTCTAATGTTTTATAAGTTTAGTTTGTAGCTTCCAGATGTCATAGTTCAAGATTCAGAAAGTCTTGATGCTAATTCCATAATCTGCCAATAAATCTAGCAATCGTAATACCTGTTCAGCAATTCCAGCTGCTTCAGCATATGCATCTTGTATGTTCTCAGCAAGTCTGTGGAGAAATATATTTGATATGCCTCCTGCAGCAACAATGAAAGGTCCAGTGGCTAGTGTAATCAGTGAAATTTCCCAGCAGTTGACAAATCCAACAACAAGTCCACTGATAAACGTAGCCATGTTATGAATATAATTTCCAACCTGCAAAGTCCAAGATCAGGAAAAAGATTAGAGACATCACAAAGAATTATAGTATCACTCATTGTGAAAATGAATATACGAACAACAAAACTAGAAATCAGAGTCAACATGATTAGAGCTGGACATACTTTTTCGCTTAAAGCTGACTGAATGAGTAAGACATCACTCAGCACTTGGCTTACAATATCCCCGTTATTCCCATACGTATCAAAGAAACTCATATCCTGATTCAATAGTACTTGGACATACTTGGACCTGATCACAGCAGTCTGCCTCTCTCCAGTAAGTATCCAGCAAGACACCTCTATTATAAAAAAAACATTTAGTAATAGCGCCGTTAACATCATCATTTCAGTTGCGGAAAGGATTAATACAGTTAGAATTTACATGTATGTTAGCAAAAAACCGAACTTACCAATCCAACCAGAAACGAAAACACCCCCGGCGATGTACACAATAGTCAGCGAAAGCTGCACATTTTGAGCATCAGTAACTTACAAGAAGACATAATTCAGGTATGATTACAGAAGAGCAAACACTTAACAGAGAAAGAAAAGAAAGTATAGCTCTTAAAGCAAGAGATTGCTTGTTCGTATCACGAAATGAAGTTTAACTGTTCAGAAACACACTCTCAAGCTAACTCAACAATAGCTAAGTAACTCAACCTTCTAATTTAGCAACTTAGAACCACTAGGAGTTTCCAAAAAAAGCAGCATAAGCTTTTAAACTAACCTCGACGAGTCGATCAAACTTATCCTCAGATCTCTGGTGACTCGAGTCATTAGAGAAAGCAAGAACCTCAACGATCTTCGCAAAGTAGTGTAAATAGACAATAAGAGCAGTACCATGAGCAGCAGCAGCTACAGAGCCGAGAATCATAAGAACCCAATCGAAATTGTCAGCGCAAGCGAAAAGCTGAGAGAAAGGAACAGCTGCAGGAGGTGGCTCGACCTCATCTAGCTCCTCCATCTCTTCATCAGCCTCCGCTTGCGCCGCCGTGGCTGTACCTCCGGCCTCGCTTGGGTCAGGATATGGAGACGGTGACTCGGGAGGCTCGGAGACTTCAGAGACTGGGGTTAATGGTTGCATATGAGGTGGAGACCATCCGAACAAACCTCTAGAGATCATCATCCTTTGTGAAGACTCTCTCACAACAAGGAGTGTTTATTTAAAACCCTAGATTTCTAGGGATTTTGATTTTGCTTAGCGGATCTGCTCAAAGCTCGTCGTT